CACACCACCATTCACCTTCCATTTGTCCCTCCCACACCTCCGGCCTCCATTCAACCTACAGCCCACGCTTGGCCGGCGCCCTATCCAGTGCCAAAACCTGCACCACCGGCTCTCCACATTCCTCAGCACATCCCGCAGGTCCACCCTGGCCCACAGCTCATCTACAACAACCCCCATCTCTACGACGCTTCGGGCCGACAGCTACCGCTCCATGCTCAGAATTATGACCCGGCGAATGACCCTTGGAATAACTACGGCGCCGACGAGCAGCCCCAGTGAATAGCTTCGATGAGTCCACGTTGGCCTTCCAATTCTTTTTTGGTGTGTATCATTCCACTTAATTTCACTGAACTTATCCTACCGTACTTGGTTGTGGCCTCACTGATCTTTCGCTCATACCAACAGTTTCACTCGCACCACGAAAAACTCCGAGGCTGCTCCACGAGACATGGCATTTTTCAATCAAGCTTTCCACGTTCTTACGACTTTTTGTCAATTTTACTCGCGCAGCTAGGCTGACCAGTTATATATAAAAAACTTACCGCATGTGTCATCACTCTGCTTTCTTGCATGTACAGCTTGCTGTGTAGTCATTATTCGATTCAAGGCTTGAGCAGCTTCTTTTCCACGTTAGCTTTCTTGCTCGAACAGTCCGCTTCCCGCCATCATCATCGCCCTCCACCTGTGATCAACATGGACGCACAATGGCAGCAGTACTGTTGGAACCACTACCTGCTCCAGCAGCAGCAACACCAGCTCACCTCGGGCACTGAAGCCCCTCAATACACTCCAACTGCCACTTACGGCCCTATGAGCCACTCGATTCGCACACACCAACAGCATCAGTCGCATCCTTACACACCACCGCCTTCGACTTCGCCACCATCCCACACACCAACAACAGGCACCAGTCCGCCACCACCACCACCACCACCACCACTCCCTACAGCCTCTCCTACAACGCCAACCCATACCTCTTTCAAGCACAGCCCCAGCCTCCTACAGGAGATCCGCGATAAGCGCCTGGACTTGGACGCCATCGCGGAGGCCATGCACACAAAGGCCGGCACCACCATCCCCAACAAAACAACACAAGCCCGAGCATTCCACTGTCCACTTATCACACTCCTGACCGACCAGCTGCAAGCCCACGCCCCAGCTGTTGCCGAAGGCTCCGCCCTTCGAGCGCTCAAGGCCACCTCCGATGATCTTGCCCGTGCCCGTGAGAAACTCCAAGCGCACGGACTGGAGCTCACCCCCAAGAAGGACCTACCCCACCCTCAAGGACGACGCCCCAGAAGCCTGGACCGCGCCCTCCATCCAACAGTGGATGCGTACTTTTGAACCCAAAGTACAGGAGGCAGCTCAGGAAATCTTGCGCCTGCTCCAAACCAGCAAGGTTTCCACCGATCAGCTTAAGGAGGCCGCTACCCGCTACGGCCTCCCCCTGATTCGGGTTAACAAGCTCTCGATAAAGAGCCTCCAACACATCGTCAGCGTGGGCGCTGCCATCGCATGCTCCAGCCAACGCCAGCCGCACCACACTTCACTCCACCAACTTTTCCACTTACATCAAGCTCTTTCCACCCTCATTCACTACAGCCAATACATTGAACGCACCGAGGCCCTCTTTGCCGTGGGGCTCATCCACATTACACTTCTATTTTGCTACCCCTCCTCTACACAACGCTCACAACAATGGCGTCAGCGACTTCAGCACCTCCACATACAACCACACACCTATCACTACCACAATTTTCATTCTCCCAACGCTGTGTATGTCAAACTCTACCTCAACCCCACCACACCTCACCGCTGCTATCACCAGCATGGCCATTTCTATATCGGCTCCACTGGCATTGGCATCCCACATAGGGAACACAACCGTCGTGCCAAACTCAAACAACTGCAAAACAACATTCCCATTTCAGCGGAACTTTCCCTCCGCTACTGGCATTCTCACAACAATATTCACCACTTCACACCCATTCAACTCTCTTCTCACGACACCTACGACCAAGCTTGGATCCAAGAACACTACCTCATCTCCAACTGGATGCCACCTCTCAATTGGCCTTTTATCTCCCATCACCTTAAGCTCAAAGCTCAAGGTTGGCAATTCACAAAGCACCGCGCCCACTTCTATTCTCGCCTGGCCACACACAAGCGACTGTTCCGCAAGCTTCGCAGGCGGCAACATGCCATTCGCGAACCCCATCTCTTCACCTCCACTCGACTACACGCTCTCACCCTCCTCCGCAACCTCACCAAACACACACTGGCATCCTTCGAAGCAGCCAAACAACTCCGCAGCGGCAAACATACAGACCTGGAAGTCTACGCCATCCGACGCATGGCCTCCAACTTGGAAGAACCAGGCCGCAGCAGAGCACTACACATCATCAACCAGGCCCTCAAGTACCGCAACCTCAGTCCACCCAAGCTCAACATCCCACTCACCATACCATTTCTGGCTCACGACCAGTTTCCCAAGCACTGCGAACAGTGGCTCAAAACAACCATACAACACCACAAACACTTGGCCATCCCGCTCCACCTGCCCACTCACCGTTTGCGGGAAGCAGCCCACAAGACTCTCAGGGCACACCTTCACAACCACCGTACCTGGGAGGGTACGTTGCCTAACCCTCCGACCTCCAACGACCACCATGTGCCTGCGCCCACCTACAAACCCTTCTTCTCGATCCAACTACACCCACAGTCGACAACCATTACATTACATCCTCACCCTTGAACAACTTACACTACCACCACATCTCCGCATCTTCCTGGCAGCCAATATGAACAGCACTTTTTACCCCAGCAAAGCCAGATACTTCCTTTCCTTTCAGACTGCTTTCACAAAATGGTTGCGAATACAAGGCCTCCCACCATCCCTTACACAGCACTTGGAGCCTTTCCTCCAGCACCAGTGGAAGCTCCACACCAACCATTTAAAACAGCAACCCCGCTTCACAGCTCGCCTTCTATGGCAACTCCAGGAATTCCTGGGCGACCAAGTTGTTCTTCACCACGCTGATCGCGAACTACAACAACTCCGCATTTTCTGCCCCCGCCAATACTTCACCGGGGCACTCGCCACCTGGCAGTCACCCGAACTCTTTGCACCCATGCCAACACTCCACCCCTCAAACATCCACGAATACTTGCTACACACCATCCCCTCCAACCTCCGCACACGCTACAAATGGGGTTTCAGAAAGGATTTCACGATCCCATACGGCATCGTTCACCTCAAGGAAAAGAAGCAATGGAGGAAAGGCCGCACCATCATCTCATACTTTCAATCCCTGAGCGGCAATCTCCTCCGCATCACCAGCCGAGCACTCGACATTATACTACAACACCTCCTCCCCCAACACCCAGGTCAACTATCCATTCCACAGCTTTGGTCCCATTTCCACTGCTACCTCACCGACACACCTCCGGACATCCCCCTACACGCCACCAACGACGATCTCGTCGGCTTCTTCAACTCCGTCCCTCAGCACCGCCTCATTGACGCCGTTCACTCACTGATTCAGCAATGGCAACATCAGAACCACACCCACACTCTTACAGTCGACACCAAAGCCACTGGCAATCCCTTCCATCACCCCCACATTGGCAGGCAACACCTACGCCACCCCACACAACGCACCATCCACACCGCAGATATCCCAACCATTGTGGCATACGCACTCGACACCTGCATTTTTCGGGCATGCAACAACACTTACAAGCAAATTCGGGGGGCTGGGATTGGCTCCCAGCTCTCCCCTGCCCTCTGCAACGTCGCCATCACTCGCATTGAACATTCATGGCACCAGCTCCACAACAACCTCCTTCAACACACTGCCCTTCACTTCACATACTATCGATATGTGGATAACCGTTTCATTGTTCACAACGAACACTTCCTTTCACATCCAGCAATCCAGACCCTCATCCACAACAACTTTTTCGGCGATCCCGTCGAATTGGAAACGGTGGATGACTTTCACATCTTGGGCTTTAACATTGACCTCCAGCAACGCACCATCACCTACATGCAACCCACCCAACCCTGGAAAATCAGGGACCACACCAGCGCCGGTAGCCAGCGCTTGGCTCTGTCCGGCTTAGCTTCAAGACTCCACGCCATCTATACATACACATTTCCACCTCGCAACGCCACCGCTGCGGCAGAAGCGCTGATCCAACTATACGCCCAAAAAGGGCACGACCTGCAAGCGCGCAGGCGGTTTTTGAGAAAAGGTCCGTTCTCCACTGCTTTGGTTTTTTGCGCCGATTGCGGCTTGTTGTGTGTGTCAACCCCCGGGCCAAGGGTTCACCACCACCGACTTTTCCACTTTCGCCACCTTTTTCCACCAAGACAGAAGCAGGGGGCATGGCAGCTGTTTCCCTAGCCATGCCAACGAAGCTATGGGATTCAGCCGGAAGGGAATGTGGACGCACATTCCTGTACCTGCAACGTGAACTTTTGGTCAAGCTGTCCACTACCGCTTTTTTGTTTCCATGGTCGTTCATGCTTCCTCCCCCAAACCCACTTTCCTGCAGCTGAGCTCGTCACCGCACTGATTGTACAGATCGATTTCGAGGCCACTTGTGAACAATGTTAAACAATACGGTTTTGCGGACTTATGCACCTTTCCGTTCCCTCACCTTCCTTCCCATCGTGGTAACTGAGTGTAACTGAAAACCAATGTCGAAGTGTGTTCAGCAATTCGAGCTTGGATTGTGTATGTGTGTGTGTGGAGTTGGACTGTTCCTTAGTCCTAGCACTTCTGAGAGGGGTTGCTCACGTATTTATCATGTATTTCTTCAAAGCTTACGCATGGCTTACGCAAAAGGTGTCCTTACAAAAAGCTTACGCAGCCTTACGCGCGTGCAGGCTTTGCTTACGCACAACTTCGATATGACAACACACTGATTAAAACTTGTTGGCTTGAGTCAAGCCTGCAATCACCACGCCCCAACAAACACAACATCGCTCAGTCCTGTCTCAACAAAAAAGCGCGGGCCCGTGACCACTCTTTCATGTTTGCAAGCATGCCTTCAACTTGTGCCACGGTTGAGAAGTTCTTGGTCACGAAGCCAACGCAGCCCGCTCCCTTTGTCTTCTTCCAGTCTTCTTCCAGCGCCTCCGCTGGAGATCTAAACTGACAAAGACTGAAAGACTCATCATGTTGTTAAGGATCTTCAAGTGTTGCCACTAGAAGGAGAAGGTCCCTGTACAAAACATGAATAGTGCTCGAGATACCAGTTTATGTATCGATCATTGGGGGAGGCAAGCATTTTTGTAGCGAAGGAAGATTGCGTGTGAAGTCTGGGCCTGGACCTTTCCCAAGGGGTTTACCGGGTGTGATTGAAGCCGCAAGCTGCAGCTCATGACAAGGAGCATCAAAGACAAAACCGCATATAGTGCTGTCTCAGCCTGGACATGAGACTGCTCAACGAATCATGTGTTGATACGTGTTGCAAACATGTTCCCCTGCGCCTTGATGACTTGGGCTGCCACCTTTCCACCCAGCCTGTTGCAAATCGCTGCGACATTAACGAACCAAGCAGCAAAAGCAACCATATTTAAACCATTCATTGAAAGGTCGCGCGTCAAGGGCAAAACAGAGAAGAGTGAAATGTCTGAGGTCGCCTCTGCATTCCTTCCTCGGAGCGCCACTCTGGCTCTTCTTCAACGAGGACCCCCTGCTCGGGCTTCACGAACTCCTTGGGGCCTCCGCTGTTGGCTCCAATGGTGGGGCATCCACAGGCCATGCATTCGAGAAAGATCTTGCCGAAGGACTCATTGTAGGACGGGAATATGCCCACCTCTGACATGGAGAAGAGCTTCGCTAGTGGTTGTTCACCTCACAGACTTTGTGGAAGTAAGTATTCATATTTGGGAAGAGCCTCCAAAAGAAGGAAGCACCTAATAAGCTCACTCATCCGAGGATAGTTATCACATCATGTCATCCAACCTAGTGATCCACAGTTCGATATGCTCGCCAAGAAACCCTTTGGCCCCAGGAAAACCGTTCGCTCGAGTCCTAATGTCTTCGCCATTGTGTGGTACTTCTCCACTGCATCAGGTGGCCCAGTGCCAACGATCGCCGTACCCACATCCGGAAACTTGGCCTCGACATGTCGTTGTTGGTCCAAAGGGGTCAAGAAGAAAAACAATTCCACAGAGCTTTTCTTCGCATGACTTATATTGATTGTGATCATTAGCAGATCTTTGAATGGGTTCCCTGTCGTCCTTCCGCACGTGTCCGCATTCTTATTGTTCCAGGTGTCCCTTGACGTCAAGTTGCCTCATACTGCTGGGCAGCGTAGAGCACCGCATCCAGGCGCTTCCAATCGACGAACTTCCCGACGAAGGTCACAAGGCGCTTCATGCTGGCCACCTTCTGCCGATCCTGTGACCGCTGTTGTGAAGGTGTTTTCCCTCTCCATGTGCCAAAACCCAAACAACGTGACCGAACTGGGAAGAATTAGACGTGATGTCGGAACTCGTCATGTTTGGGCTCGCCTTGATGCTCTTGTGTCAAAGCTCTTTCTTCAAGATTCCACCAAAAGAATCGAAACAACGAGAAATCAGCTACAGTTGACAATCTCAAAAGGAAAAGACCCAATGATCTTGCCCCTCTTTCTGTGTCCTCCTCCGCCAGGAATGTGGACAGATCGGCAGCCACCGTTGTACCCTTCGGGCAAAAGGTCTCTTGGTTCACGCCCGTGCACGAGAAGACGCAGTTCTCCTTGGGATAGTTGGGGAAACAATCCAAGAACTTCCCGATGTAGTCCTCCGAATTCACCCACACACCTGACGTTTTGCTGAGGCCATCAAAAACCCCGCTTCCTTGGCATTTGGTCAAGAAGCGCATGGGATATTCTGGATCACCTTCCTTCTCCTTGATGTACATCTTCAAGGCGGTGCCATGCACAAAATTGAAGTGTCTCAGCTTGGTCTTGCCCTCCTTGTGCCGCCTCTCAACGATTTGAGCTGCTGTCATGGCATTGGTGAAGGCATGGTGGGAAATGAGATAGTCAAACTCCTTGCACTCCTTGGCCTCGACCGCATCCATGAATTCACAGATTTCATTCTCAAGGCGCTTGAGATAGGCATCGTACTGCTCCTCAGTCATGGAGTGCCACCTGTAGGAGGAATTCGGGCTCACCGACTCACAAATGGGGATGTCGTGTTCAATCTTGAAGACTCTGAAGGTTGGATCATCCTCGGGATTCGTTTGCTTCTTGCTTGGGTAGATGGAGTAACTCTTCACGCCCGGCATGTTGTTCATGCTCTCATGGAACGAAGCATGCAAAATGCCACTACCAGGAGCGAACTCTCCCTGACGCTGCCAATTGTTGGTGCCAATCTGGAAGATCAGCACCGCCTCACGCAGCAAACAGATCTATTTATATATTGCACTCACACACTCCTGTTTTCGGCCAGCTATCTGAAGGTTTCA